TATATATATATATATATATATATATATGTACCGGTTTTTCAAGCCATATTGAGTGCGATGGGTAAGAAGCTCGTGAAGTGAGTCATTTTGCCGGACTAATGTGTACAGCAATATGCAACCAATTTTAGTTACTACTTAAACAAACCTGTGATTGTCTTAGAATCCAAAATCAATCAGCACCCTTTATTTTGCCCCATTGTGATAAAAACAATGGGTTCAAACGAACTGTTTGTCCTGTTTCATTCGCTTGACACCAACATTACGGTAAATTCTTTTGATCTTTAAGTTTTGCCTTATTTTGTGATACAACTGATCTTTACAAGATATATAGTAGTCCATCACACATTTGCTCCCCATAAATCACGGTAATGATGAAAAATGATCTAGCATCGATCGGCTGGTTAGTCCCGAACCGTTTGCAGTAACCGTTTGATTGCGAACTGTGTCGGATATTATTCTAGATGGACAATCGAAACTACAACCATACCATATACTCTTAAAATTTTTATCTCAACACTGCCCTTCAGGGTCTTCTAGCTAGTCAAACCTACCCAATAATCTTTACGTCCACGAGATTAATTCTTCATTATAAGTTTGGTTTCGGTGAATCGTTTGAGTATGTTATTTGGTAAACTGTGCCACATAGGCGTGAACATCAGTTGCCGGCGTGTTTGAAAAGTGCCTCTGTTCACCAGGTGTTTCGCTCCGACGACGCGGAAAACGATTTGAATTGTGCTCCTCTCAAGCATGAATTTTCTCCAGTGATTAAGAATAGTTGGGTAGACCAAATATTTTCCATAAGCACTGTTGATATTGGGTTATATATCGGAGAAAATAGGCATGCGAATTGACAACCACTAAGGATAATAGTGTAAGATATTAGCTTCGATGAATTCAATGCAATGTTATTGTAGTTCTAAAGTATGAGATTCCCACCTTCAGGGGAATAATAATATTTTGGAGGTGAACGCGGATAGCAAGTGACCCAAAGGCAAACTGAGATGAAAACACTGCTGAGTAGAATTTTCTGCTGCGGGGTTCAGTTGCATTTTTATCCGACAAAACTGTGCGTCAGATGCCAATGGGTGATCACAACTCACAAGCCCCATCCAGCTACACACGTTCCTGAATCGTTTGTGTGTGTGTGTGTGTGTGTGTGTGTGCGTAGTTGTGGTGGAGAAAGCCGGTCGCTTTGTGTTGACCTTTCGTTGCTCGAAAAAACTAAGTCTCAGTTGACCTACGTTAGGACGATGACAAAACATATTTGGTCTGGCCAAACGCTTCGGGTCCGAGTTTTCGGGGCACATGAGCAGAATGCAACTGTCTTATTTGGAGAAAGCGAAAATCAGACAGCTTCCAACTGCGAAAACTGCAGCGACCGTTGTCCGCAAACTGAATCGCGTCGGAGTGGAACAAATGTTTCAATTTTGAAGCCGCGACTACTGAACTGGTGAGAACTAATGTGCAATTGTCTGTCTTCAAACGCCCAGGTCAGTTCAGAGGAGAACAGATGTCACTGATATCTATCTACGGATGAACAGAAAAAGTGCGACCTTATTGCGGCCAAATTAACCAAACTTTGTGTTGGAAACCCACCTTTCAATATTTCTATTACATGGTACCATGATTTCTGTGATAATGTTCTCAAATGATTGTTTTACGTATTCTGGCTCTTCGTTTTGTTTTTCACGGGCAGAAAGACTTCCTCCCCCCACCACAAAAAACACAAACAATTCAGGTGTGTGTGTGTGTGTGTGAATGAACTTGTGAGCTGTGATCACCGACTGCCGTTTGACGCAGTTTCATCGGTTAAAAGTGCAAATGCTCCGCAGCAGAAATTTGCGTTCAAAAGTGTTTCCGACTTAGTGAATCACCTGGACTGTATACACATAGTATGAATAGGTCTTACGCCAGCTCCGTTTTTCCTCGAATCACCACGAACGGGAATATGTGAAATCGTGGAAATCGATGTGACTGTATTCCGCTCCATTACGGTTTGTATGCGTATTTGAACTTTGGTTTGGGAAAATCGATTTCATTCTGATAACTGACCTGAGGAGTGCAAAAGGCTTTTGGCGTACGTCCCGAACACCGACAGGAAGACGTCTCCGTTCCATTCATTAGTAGAATGATTCCCACTTCTCTAGCCTGTGCCTGGAGTGACAGTTCACAAAATGTGACTTAGGAAAATCCATAGCATTGGTGGGATGTGAACGAAGCTCGAACAATCTAATCTACTCAGTTTCCTAATTCATCTATTACTAGATCGCCCCGTTTGACCCTTTATTCATAGAACCGTGATGATGTCGTACGGTGAA